CGACTGACTGATGCTACACAGAGCTGATGTCCACAAACCTGCACAGTGTCACAGAAAAGCTATGAAATTCTTCAGTTTCATCTAAACTTACAAAGCCAAAATTCCTGACAACCTCAAATCTTTCTTAATCTCAAAGTATTGAATTCACATCCTAACAAAATATACACACACATTTTGGATCATGGTTGTGCCTAGCATTATCAGCAGATCTCTGTGATCTGATGGCAAATCTGACAAACCTCAACCACAGGTGTCAATGCTCATGGGTGCATCACTCAGTGTACATACAGAAGTAGTCAGGGACATTTTACTTCAGACTACTTGGAATTTCCCTCCATGGGACTATTAAAGGAACATTTTATCTTATACTATCTTAAATAATAATAAATGAGGATTAGATCTTATTACTGGAGACCCATGGTTAATGCAAGGTGTGAATGCTCTTACTCAAAGCTGGTCACTTGGGTCCAAAACAAAGGTCAACCAATGTGGGATTTATAACAGGCAATACTGATGGAGATATTTATGGAACAAGTCAGCCACAGGCATATATATAAAAAACTAATAACTGCCATTATGTCATGCACATCAAAATCTAATATCCATTGTTATCTTAGTCAGAAAAACTATTCAGACTTTTTTTTAATTGATTCATAAAATGACAGGAAAGCAAATGAGGCTATCCTTACTTACCCTAAATATGTTTCAACAGGACATATTTATGCCAGAGGCAACTTTCTAGAAATCATGACAATATTTGTCAAACGTGTCAGAAACTCTTTAATTTGATCTGCTGTAAAAAAAAAAATAGATAAAAAAAATTAATTATAATAAAAAAACTGTTATCATTTAGGGGAATGTATTCAGTGCTTGACAGCAGCTACACCAATGCAGCTGCCTGCAGTCTGCAGATGTGTTTTTCCTTAACAGGTTGTATGAGTCCAGATATTGTGATGCTGATTATTTGAAAATGCCATGAATCAACCCAGGCAAATAAATCTATCTCTCTCTAGCCTAGCCTCTCTAACTGAATAACCTGGCCTGAATACCCCAAAGTCTTCCTACTGTATGTGCAAATGTATACAGGGCTCTCAAGTCTCACGCATTCAGCGTGTGACACGCATTCCCACCCGCTCACACGCCACACATTGAATTTCTCACGTATTTAAATGAACATGGTGATGTCCACCAAGTTGCACCTCTTTAACTATGGAACAGGTATGAAGCAGCATTGCTGTATCCGGGTAGATTTTGATATCTTGCGGTTTGACTACAGAAGAAGACAGACACTCGCCGAAATAGATCAGGTTTCATAAGGATGAGAAAGACCCGATGATTACAGTAAGTCAGTAACCTACACATGCAGAGATCTCAACACCTCATGGCAGATAAACTCATATGATAAACTAAAGCCCTATGCTATTGCTGTTAACAGCTGTATTGATGAATTTAGCCTCTGTACAGCCAATTCCAGCCATTTTCCCCTCCACAAAAGCAGCAGTTCTCATATATTCTTTTTAAAGTTCTGATACCCATGACAGTGTAATGCTGATGTACCAAAGGATTAAGTATCTCCATGTTTGTGGTACAATTCATCTAAATGCTCCACAGTGCTGATTTTAACAACCCTCCTCCACAACAGGTAACTTTACAACTTTATTCTTATAAATTAATTACTTTATTCTCCTAAATAATAACTCTTATCTCAAAGATTTAAAAAAGTTTTTTTAATGTGGCCCTCATACTCCATTGTATTTATTAGATTATTATACCAATAATTATCTTCAATCACTCCCCCCCCCCCCCAACACACACACACACACACACACACACACACACACACTCTCTCTCACTATAAGCTTAGTTCAAAACTTAAGAGCCCTGTGTATAGGTATGTCAAGGTCTGTAATGTTAAAGGACTACTGCTAAACTTTTTAAAGAGCATTACAAATATAAAGGCAAAAAGTACTTACCTGATAGAAAAATAAAAAACTCTCTCTGTTAAATTAGTTTCTAAATAGTTACAAATCACAAAAACATCACCAATGAGAAAGGCAACTGTCCCAGTTTACTCACAAGCTTACATCTCTTTTCACCCTTTCATTTGGTCACCTTCACCAGCTTTTACCCATTTAAAATAAGTGTGGTTACCACAAACCGACTGGTTAAGTTGTGCCAGAGGTAAAGGTCCCTGCATACCACGCTAAGGTGACGACGTTTGAAATGGCTCTCTTGATTTAAGGCGACTCCAAGCAAACATTTAGCTTGTGTTGACAGATTGGCTCATTAATAAAAACAAGAAACAGCTGTGTGTGAATAAAACCGTGAATTGTTTGATGGTTCGGCTGCCGTAAACGACCCCTGTAGTGTCGCGTTACATTGTGTATCGATCTGCAGTCGTATCAATCAAGCTTGTGGGAACTCACCTCTCTGCTGGGCAAGGCAGCATTGCCATAGCAACGCGGTGAGTAGCACGAGTCGGAGCCGCGTCATATTTGTTCCAACCAGGAGTATGGTGTTGCACCGCGCGCGCCTTGGTGTAAGCACGCTGTCCTCGTGCGCGGCTCTGTCTTGAATTGAATGGCTGAGAAGAAAAAGTTTCACAGAAGTTGACCCCAAACTCTCTCTCCCTCCTTCCTCTCTCACTCCTCCTCCTTCTCTCCTTCCCCTCTCTCTCTCTATTCTCTCAGGTTGGAAGTTGGAGTTGAGGGAGGGAGAGTTTAATGAGAAACACATGGAGAAACAGATGAAAGAAAATCAAAGTACATAGATATATAGACATAGAATTTTATCCTGTAAACTGTAAACATATTTTAAATAGATAGATAGATAGATAGATAGATAGATAGATAGATAGATAGATAGATTCTCATTGAGGTAGGCCTAGTTATAGTAATTATTCTCACAGACCAAAAAGCTATATATTTTAATTCTAGTGCCTAAATGTATAAGGTTTCCCCAATCATAATTTAATAGTTTTTAAAATATCTCTCTTTGTTTTAGCTCAAAATTGAGCTCATTTGAACTATATGTGAGCAACTATGGACTGTATACAGAATGGACACTGTCTGCCTCCTCACTGGGTGAAGCCATTGCGAGAACAGCACCCTCTGGTGACGAGCTGCAGTATAGGTCATAAATCCCACCTCCGCCAGCCAGCCTTATGGAGCTGTGGACCAACTTTAGAAATTAATTACACAGAATATAAAAATGTCTCCCCCCTGCTTGTGATGTTGACATGTAGTTACTGTAAGACTGGTTTGTGCTCAAGTCCTCTTTTTTCTGTACAGCACCATTTTTACAAGTTATTAGGGGGTTCATGTTTTCTATGATTGACACTTATATAGCTTATCGGCATATGAAGATTACGTAGCTCACATTGAGGATACGCTGTTTGAGCCGAGCGCCATCTCAGCGACTCTCCCGCCGAATGTGCACAATGCTACTGCGTAAGTGGCGGAGTGCGTACAACGTTACTGCGCAATGTTGGTTTCAGGAAATGGAGAAAAAACGCTGAATTACCGAGAGCTTTTCGGCTTCAAATCCGTATACTGGTGGAAGGCAGAAGCAAGTTGTCCGTAGTATGTACAGTCTATGTGAGCAACACATACTTATTATTCTGTTTATCTATCTATCAAAAGCTAATGTGATAGAGGGATATTTGTAACCTGTGGACCTTTGCCTGGAAAAGAAGACTCGCCGAAAGCTGTCCTGCACTTTTCTGATTTACAGTCTCTGCTAACTGCACATGCTTAAAAACCACATTTATAAATGGAAGATTAATGAAATTTTCAGAGCTCAATAAATTACATTTTTGTAATGCTGTTTGCAATGGTGCCATTAAATTGGCTTTCCATCCAATGTTTTGGGGGTTTGTTTGTGTAACCAAAGCACTTTGAAAACTAGTTTTAATTAGTAGTAAGAGGCTGCAACCCAATAAATGCAAAACGAAGTGAAATGTGTAAAATCACTCTATGATGCTGAACTTGTACCTGAACTGTGGACAAGTGGTAACAAAATACAGACATATGAAGCTGTCTACTAAAATACGTAGGAATGCTTCTTCTATTTTTCCCTGCAGAACATGAGCACTTTTCACAATGACAACTCCAGAAACTAGAAAAACAGCTCAAAAGTTGCATCAGCACAGCTTGCACCAACAAACACCCAAACAAAGAGCCAGAACTGAAAGGAGAACAAGGAGAGAGGTTGAAAAGAACTAAATGGAGCTTGGAGAAGAAAAAAAAAAAGTTCAGAAATCAGTGCAGGAGTTGTGGGACTGTTGAGATGCACATTTGTTCTATGGCTCCTCCTGCTGCCCTGCACAACTCACCGCAGCTCAGGGGCAAAACTGAAACAACAGGGTTTGACCCGACATGGAGGGACAACAAAATCTAACTGAAGACTCAGGAGACAGTGTCTGTATTTTCTTTTTGTGGGTGTGTTTTGTGCAAAATTAGATGTTCAAAATCCAGTTGATGAAAGTGAAATGTTAAACTAGTCAAAGTTAACTTCTACTGGAGTAACCAGGGATGGTAAAAAGAAGGTAGCTTGCATATGACTTTTATTTGTCACTAGAAAACAAGTTCTCATAAGTCTGCCTTATATTAAAGATTCATTCTGAGACTTGTAGTTTGTTTTATCAACATTAAAAAAAGAATTTCCCTGACGCTTAATTATAGTGACTCAAACTTTGTTTTGGCTTTCACTGTATCCCTGACTGAGCTGTTTACTGCTAACTTCTTCTACCATTGAAAACACTGGTTTATTATAATGTTTCAGCTCACCAGCTTGTCAATCACTTCCTACCTCTGTGCAAGTAATTGTTCTTGAGCAGCTGCATGTGTGTGTTTGTGGTTGTGTTTTGTGTATAGTTTCACATAGGCAGATATTTAAATTATGTGTTTGTGTGAAAGTTTGTGTATGAGTTTTTAAATGCTTCAAGTGTCAGCCAAGTCAAGTCAGTCTCTCACTGACCGTTGGACCATCAGGCACAGAAAGGCTGACTGTGTGGACAGAAAGGCTGAAGATGGGCTCTCGTCCCTGGGATCGGAGCTCAGGTCAGCCCTGGAGTGCCGCTAGCTCTTTGTGGGGCTGGACTGTGGCGAGGTTGCAGCTGGAGTGGACTTCAAGGTGAGTCACATATTGTCATATTAAATTTTAACCATCTCCATCATCTTTGTTTTTGTTTTTTGATATATAAGATTATGTTTTGATACAGTTCTTGACAAGATTCCAACTAAACCAACTAAAAATGAAAAAAAAAATTCTTTTCAGGTTTTTTCAGGAGGATGAAGAGATGCTGATTCTGACCCACAGTGACGAGTTAAACAAAACCTACAGTGAGGACAGCCAAGTGCTTTTTGACAACACAACAAACCGAAATAATTCAAGTTCTGACAATGCCGGAACAACCAGATCACCTCAAGGACAAAACAGCTTCTCTCTTAATGAACAAGATAATCTCACTTTGAAAGAGAGACCAGATCCTTCCCTGAGGGGATACACCAGAACCATGTGCCAGGATAGTCCGACATTTAAAGAAGCCAGAACCACAGTCGTATCCTCTGGACTCAGAACTCTTACTGTTACCTCGGCTGTCCCCTCTGCAGACTCTCAAAAGTTTAAAAAAAGTTACGGCAGGAGAAAGAGGTCTGCTGCTGAGATGGAGGCGGATGAGGTCGGGAGCAGAAAGGACAAGAACTCCAGTTTCATCCAGAACCAGCCTGATAAGAGGAGATCCTACAGACTGGTGAAAGAGCAAAACAGAGACAAAAGCATGGCGGGTACCTCAAAGTTTTGTGTCAGCCTTGAGGAAGAGACAGCACAGATAAGTTTGGCTCATCCAGCAGAGAGGTCAAGTCATAGCATCTCAGGTGTGAATCCTGGTCCCACTATCACTGCCTGGGAGGCCGGCTGGAATGTCACAAATGCAATACAGGTACAAACTGGTGGTCTGAAACCTTTTCCAGATAAAACATGAGGAAAAAAGATGATCAACCATAGACCTAAAATTTCAGTATTTATATCAGGATCAAAAAAATGTTTTTTATTCTTGTGGTTTTTTTTCTCATAACTAAATTTGAAGCCTATTTCTTGTTATGGCCATTTATTAATGGACACATATAATCCGAATGCTTTTTGAAACACCATTCTACCATCATCGCCAACAGATTTTTCAAATGTCTTTAACCTCTCCTTTTTCAGCAGTTTTGGTCTTTTTTTTATTTTCCGTGCTTTTCTGCTTATTGATACGTCCATAGACTGTATATAGAATGGATGCCATCTGCCTCCTCGCTGGGTGAAGCCACCCGAGAACAACACCCTCTGGTGACAGGCTGCAGTATAGGTCAGAAACCCCACCTCCTCCAGCAATCCTTATGGAGCTGTGGACCAACTTTAGAAATTAATTACACAGAATATAAATTTTTATCCCCCCTGCTTGTGATGTTTACATGTAGTTACTGTAAGACTGGTTTGTGCTCAAGTCCTTTTTTTTTCTGTGCAGCCCCATTTTTAAATGTTAAAAGGGGGTTCATGTTTTCTATGATTGACACTTGGTACAGCCTATGGGCATATGAAGATTACGTAGCTCACCCGGGGGATACGCTGTTTGAGCCGAGCGTCATCACAGCGATACAATGCTACTGCACAAGTGGAGGAAGAGACAAAAATCCCAGAAACACAGACAGCAATTTAGCTTCAAATTCGGAGAATGATGAAAGGCGGAGCCAAGTTGTCCATAGTATATACAGTCTATGGATCATAGACTTTATATAGAATGGACAGAGTCTGCCTCCTTGCTGGGTGAAGCCAGTCCGAGAACAGCACCCTCTGTTGATGGGCTGCAGTATAGGTCATAAATCCCGCCTCCGCCAGCAAAGCTTATGGGGCTGTGGACAAACTTTAGAAATTAATTACACAGAATATAAATTTTTCTCCCCCCTGCTTGTGATGTTGACATGTAGTTATTGTAAGACTGGTATTTAGCTCACCTGGGGGATACGCTGTTTGAGCCGAGCGTCATCACAGTGACTCTCGGCAACTGCTCTGCCGAATGCGCGCATCGCTACTGCGCAGCGCTGGTTTCAGGAAATGAAGAAAAATCCCGGAAATACCGAGAGCTTTTTGGCTTCAAATCTGTATACAGGCGGTACCAAGTTGTCCATAGTATATATAGTCTATGCTATGGATACACCAGAGTTAGTTTACACTAATAGAAACCTTACTTCTCCTTTTCTCCAGGACTTAACGTCTTTATTCTGTCCAGTATCTCTCTGAAGATGAATGAACAAAGTACATGTCCATTGTTTAGTTGCCAAGCTCTGCACACTCAAAAAAGCACTTAACCTTGCAGAAATTTAAATCTGCCCTTGTTGTGTTTTAATATTACCAAACAATCCTTTGTGGCCTTCGGATATTTTTACAATCAGATATATAAAAGAAAAGCCTCCGTACAGTCACTGAGTTTTCTTGTGGCACTAATGCTAATAGCTTATTGTGCCGTAAATGCAGTCATATTCAACTTCTGCGCTCATATAAATGTGTTCTTTCACTGTACTGTAATTGAACAGCACCTCTGCGTCTGTGGAGAACATAATGACATTAGGGCATCGTTATAGTGAATGCATGCATACACATAAGCACAGAGACACTGGCACGTACACGTTCCTTTAGGAGTTACATCAAACATTTCTGCATCAGATTTTCTGCAACACACACGGGATTTCACCAAGCACTGTTTTTAGTTCATAAATAAATATACAGAGAGAGCAACATATTTAGTAGATAAGCAAGTGTTTTATGTGCAGGATTTATTGATGTGATGCACATCTATCTATCTATCTGGGTGCCAGCCAGCGCTATATTTTCAAGTTCTCACTAGAGACAGAGTGTTTGTGTGCCAGAAACTGTCTCTGATGAAAACAGAGACTTCAACGTATTCCATACAGTTGATCTAAACTCTCCCATCACATATATGGTTTTTATTTATCAGTACTTGCAGCTATTTTAGAATTAATCTGGCTTTAACTCAACACTTTTGTTCCCATGTTTCAGTAATTTTTCTACAGCATACCATTTTTTTTAACTTTACAGAGGCCTCTCTCCTTGGCTCTTGACTTGGTTAATGTTTTGTAGGTTATTCATTACCTGCAGCACTCTGTAATCAGGAACCTTAACCAAATGGATTGCTCATTAATCCCCGCAGACGGGGTCACACCGAGGTTAAGTTAAGGTGACTTCATGGGGAGGAAAAGAGATTTTTATTAGAGGTGATGTTGCTGTAAGTGTTAAAAACCTCAGACAGTCATGGATAATGCAAGGAAAAGAGGAAGAATTTGGGGTTTTAATCAGACGTGAGCACCAATCAGAACGGGGATGACACAACCATTTGCAAAGGGCCTAACAGATGTCCCAATAATGAAAAAAAGAACAGCAGCTTTATTTCCTATCAAGGCTAAAAAGAAAAATATGTATTTTCCGGTGGTGGTTTATTGATGCCAGAATAACTGACTGTCTGCCAGCTTAATACAGTTTTTATTAGAGAGCAAGTGTGCTGCCAAAAACACACACAAAAATAAATAAATTTTCAAAAGCTCCAGCTCTCAAGGCTTTCTAACTTGGGACTATCATGGGACTCAGTTTTAATTCCAACCTGACTCTTAATGAGGCAGCGCCACTGTGTTTGTCTTCATCACAGATTAGAGATGTGCAGCTTTTGTTTCCCCAGAAAAAAACTGATGGTAGGTTCACTGGCTATGATTATCGGCTCTCTGAGTGACACTTTATCTTAAACTGGGATTAAAACTCCACATCTCAAGTTCTAAATTGGGTTTTTAAATCCAATCAGAAGGCCTGAGGGAAATGAAGTGTCCCTATTTTGTTTTTGGAAAGATTGCTGTCAAAAGTTATTTAGTTTACATCACAGCCAAATACAGACCCTGCAGGGGAAGTGAGGCTGGATGAAAGCGTCTGCAGGTTAGAGCAGCTTTACTGTCATCTTCACCAGGAATTTAGTAGATAACCTGCTTTTTCATCACCGTTATTATCCTCACCTTTATTGTCTTTGCCATGATCATCTTCATGTGGGATATCACCAAAGGGTACCCTGATGATGTCACTGGGTGAGCACAACCTCTGCTCAATGATGAACTTCTATTACAGAGAGCCTGCTTTGCAAATTGGAACTGTGATTGGCTGTTCAAAATCCCAAGTAATCATGATAACAATCTGCATTTCATACAGGCACTCAAAGATCTCCCGAGAGTCTGCATGAGACACGGGGACTTGAAATGAAAACCCCTCAGCTGCTATATTCAATACTCAGAGCAACCATCAGCATACAGAGACAGATCAAGTCACTGTGATTGTTGGATTGATGTAATGTATTTGTCAAACAATGCTGGCCAGGGTGCCTTACCTCAGGAGATAGAGGTCTAAGTCTGGTGTGACTAAAAGTTACACAAAAGTTTACGCACTGTTGTATATATTTAACGCCGGAATTGGGCAATATGTACAACAAAGCTTTATATTATGTTAAAGAAATGGCCTTTTTAAACTATTACCAGAGCAAATAGTCACAGTTAGTGAGACTTTTCACTGTTAAGTGACAATATAATGGGGTTTTGCCTGAAAACACTGCCTTTGCATGTACAGGAGGTATAACAAAAAAGGTGTCCCTGTCTGCACACAGGGGGCACCAGAATGGATATAAAGTAAACATTCTTCAAAGTAGCTGTAAATTGATGCAAACTCAGTCCAGTTTCGAGGTTTTATTGTGTTGAAAAGTACTGGAGCTTTTTAAAAGGAACAAATCCATAATCCTAATTTTCATCAAAAGCAGTCATGACGAGTGAAAACAGAGAGAAAGGGACAGAAATGGTGCTTGACTGACACACAGACAAAGTTGAGAGAGCAAGCATGTTCCTGTAAAGAAAGAGGAAAATCACAGAAACAACGCAATGTTTTCTGATTGTTTCATTTACACTCTTAACACACAACCCACAAACATGCAGGCAGGTGCTGGGTTTAGTTTGCTGGCAGATGAAATTGTACTCTTCCCTGACAGTGGAGTGTGTGTCTCTGCTCTGCTCTCCATCACAGCCCCTAAAAACGGCACACACTCAAGTCTCATTGAGTGTCCTTGCCCAATTACAAGTCAAGATTCAAACCTTGATTGGGGAAATTTATTCTCAATGCACATAACTGTCCCATAAAGGGTGAGAAGTTTCAGATTTTGTTAAAAGGAGGACTGATACAGACATTACAGTACAAAACAAATCTTGGAGGACCCTACACATGTTAGAGCGCAAGCTTGCAGCAACTGTAGTGTGTTAAAAAACTTTCTGTAACACATTACAACAATGATGCTGTGACCTTGGTGGAAATGCACAAAGAACCATTTCTTCTTTTTTCAAAAGTTGCAGTCTGCTCAGTTCACACTCTTAAAAACGGCGATAGAGGTTTTTCTATCTTAAGAAATAAAACAACTTTGATGAAGGTAATAGCACAACTTTTGGCGTGGTACAAAAAACTGGTGTGCAGATACATTTATCCATCACTATTGGTGCACACCATAGACTGTATATAGAATGGACACCATCTGCCTCCTCGCTGGGTGAAGCCACCCCGAGAACAGCACCCTCTGGTGACAAGCTGCAGTATAGGTCAGAAACCCCACCTCCTCCAGCAATCCTTATGGAGTTGTGGACAAACTTTAGAAATTAATTACGCAGAATATAAATTTTTCTCCCCCCTGGTTGCGATGTTGACATGTAGTTACTGTAAGACTGGTTTGTGCTCAAGTCCTTCTTTTTTCTGTGCAGCTCCATTTTTAAAAGTTATTAGAGGGTTCATGTTTTCTATGATTGACACTTGATACAGCCTGTGGGCATACGAAGATTGCATAGCTCACCCAGGGGTTACGCTGTTTGAGCCAAGCGACTCTCAGCAACTCTCTATGCGTTCCACGCTACTGCGCAAGTGAGGCTTCCAGGAAGTGGAGAAAATACTGAATATACAGAGAGCAATTCGACTTTAAATTCATATAATGATGGAAGGCGGAGCCAAGTTGTCCAAAGTATATGTCTATGGTGCACACCTGCATAAGATACTGTGTATGACCTTGGGGGCCAGCAGTTGAAATCTGGTACCTGAGAAGTCCAGACAGGAGCGGTGAATGTGTTTTCTGCCTGGTGGCTGATACTGAGCATGCATTGGGAAGGTTTGAAACAGGGCATACTGTATGTGCTGGGTCAACATTACCTGTATAAACAGATTTCAAAGGTGTCAGATTATAGCAGCACAGAGCTGAAAGGAATAATCATGGATTTTTTCCTGCCTTTATTCTACCTGTTCGTGGTTGCTTCAGGAATAAGCTGGCAGAATAACACAGAAAAAGAGAGAGATGAAATCAGATACTGGAGCGTCAGATTTCTCTCAAACTGCTGCTTTCATCCCCAGCAGCTCCATTTGAACATCAAAGCTTTATCAGCATATGCCTGACAGACACCAGTTACTAAATAACCACTTGAAAGCCAGAGAATGTGTCTGTTTATGCATCCACAATATGTGCTCCTCTGACTGTATCTCCATGTTCCAACATCCCAAACACAGCAGCTCCATCAAAGCAGCTTCATGTCTCCTCTGATCTCCACTCGTCCTGCGCCTCTCCCCCCTTCAACCTCCTGTTCTCAAGCCGCACCTACACTTCTCCTCTTTTCCTGTATCCTCTCCTTTTCTTGCTTTTTCCGCCTCTCTCCCCTCTCCTCTTCTTCTCCTTTTCTCTCTGGCAGTTGCTTTAGTTTTCTCTTGGTGAAGGGCCAAAGCTTGACTCTTCTCCTCCTCCTCCTCCTCCTCCTCCTCCTCCTTCTGCTCCTGCTGGTCTCCTGCATCCTCGAACTCTCCGGGCATCAGGCCAAAACTCCTCTCGCCTCCTCATCTTCCAACCATGAACACTCCTTTCTTCTCTCTCCTTCTCATTCAGTGTTCAGTGTCTTTCCATATTTTGTTCCCTCTTGCCTAATGAATTTAAAGAGTTTTATTTTTAACATTTTCAGGGTTTATTTCTCTCTAACTTGCAAAACAAGGCCTGTCAGTGTATTACAGTTTTAATACAGCAATGCCTGGGTACTACATAGTATCTGCGCTGATTTTTAGGGATTGACACAACACAGTTAAAGCAAAAATAGTGATAGTTTGAAAAAGAATTGTTGTCATTCTATCTAAATTTTTTCTTTTCCCACAAAATTTTCCCTCTTTGGCTACACATACAACATACTTAACATCATTGTGACGCAAATTTTGCATCTTTTACAAATGAGTGACAGATTGCAGGCTAAATTTACAGATTTTGATATCGCATATTTATGCCTTATGCCTTCATTCATCTTCTTAAAGTTTATTAATAATGGAAAGAAGATGCTTTATAAAAGATATTAACTCATTGTAAATTTGATGCTAGCAACAGATTTCAAATGCATGTGCTATACTAGCTCCTTTGAGGAGTTTTTTGATGTCTATTTGTGATGTGTCAGTCGTGAACGAACCGGTTCAAAGAGCTGGCTCCCATCTGAAAGTCTTGGGTTTTTTTGCCCTTTTTTTCTCTCTTTTTTCCCCCCAACAGACCATAGAAACGATCTACAAGGTAGAATGAGGGGATGACGGGTGCTCCATGCGTGCAGTAGATGACTGTCACGTGCATGCTGTGTGCAAACAATCATTCTAGGATACCCCAAGCAGAGGGGATAATTCCGATCACTCAAATCTATGAAACACACTTTATTTTGATGCTGTTTTATGATATAGACAAGCAAACAGGCACATTGGCGATAAGTTTAACAACTTTAATGTTGTATTTTTTGATGCCTCAAATCAGTGCGAGGGGGTAGTTGCTAGCCAAGTACCTACAGAAACAGCTTTGTTTTTACAATTACCTAATGAAATATTTGCATTACATGATACTTTTGTCTGTAAGAAGTCAGCAGGATGTTCATTTTTGTCTGATGACATGAATTCAACATATGAAGGTAGACAAGATAAGCAAAGACTGCTTTGTCCACGGCGGGGGGGCCACTTGATAGAGACCGAAAGTTCTGACTGACTTAAGGCTCACAGGAGCCTTAAGTCAGGATTATCTTTCATGAGAAGTACATTACGACTGTAGACAGTATAAAACATTCATACTGTCACACTGGGGTAATCTGTTGGCATTGTGTTGCCACAAAAATAGTTGTCGCGATGTTGGAAACGCTACTCAACCCAGCTTGGTTACTTCAATAAAGGCAAAGTGGTGAAGCTGAGACCTTCTTACAAACAGCAGCCACATCATGACCGAATTTGTTAAAAAAAAAAAAAAAAAAAACTCAACCTTTTGCTATGCTCTGTCTGTCTTCCTGTAGGGTATCTTTGTGTTGGGTTTACCCTTTGCTTTGGTTCGATCGGGGTATGTGGGTCTTGTTGTGCTGGTCCTGTCTGCCTGGGTTTGTAACCACACAGGGAGAATCTTGGTGGCCTGTCTGTATGAAGAGACGCAGAGGTAAAGATTTTATCATATACATCCATTCAATAAAATGTTTTGTGTGTCAGTGCTCTCTTCCATGTTTCCGGCTTTATTTCTCACTTGAGCCAGACTCATATTCATTTTTCCATTTAGACCCCTCTTGGTAACCCACCTGTATAAGAACACATAAAAAACAGACTTTAAAACACAGAATATGCATGTTTTGTCTTCAGCTAAAAAGAATGATAATGTGTTGTTTGGTAAAACTGTGGCTTGCTTTGGTCTTGTATGCCTGCAGGTTTGAGTCCAATTTAATTCTGATTTAAATTACTTCCACGGTGCTGGGTTTGATTTGAATGTTTTTGCCAGCTGTGAGAAAACACCTTGTTTGAATGATTTACAACATTTTTCTGGGCAAAGATTATTCTTTTTAGAGTTGCCTCTTGTTTGTGTTTAGCAGTTTTAAGACAAAATACTGTACTTCTAAAAACAATTAAAATCTTGAATCAGGCACATCTATCACAGTCGGAAAATGTTTGTTTCTTTCAGCGGAGGGTCTGATTGCAGGTCGCAGGTCAGAGTGCGACACAGCTACCAGGACATAGTGGAGGCCTGCTGTAAAGGACTGTGGCCCAACTGGCCTGGACTGTGGGGACTCATGGTTAATGCAGCTCAGGTAACACACACATAAATGTACCTTCAGCATTACACTGGGTTGAAGAAGTAAACAGAGTCACCGATGCTGCCCAGTCAGCGTGAAACCATTGGTGGAAGACTGCTTCACAGTGTGGCATCTTGCTCACCACCGTCTTTTGGAGCCTGAATTTGCCACATTCATTAAGATTCACTTTTGCCACTCTGACCAAAGTGACAAGTTGCTATTGAAGTGACTCTTCAGCTGCAAAGTAGCCAAGCCTTTGGAAAATGTAGAGTTTGGTCAAAATGAAACCAAATTTCACAAAAGCTGCTCTATAGCAAATGCCATCGGTTTGATCTGCACCTCTTCAAAAATGTATGCACTCAACAAAAACACAGGCTCCTTGCTCTGTGACTGGTGTGCTGGTATCGCCGCTAACCTCCATGCTTGTCTCCCCTCCTCTCTCATTTGCAAAATTGACATATAAACTCCAACTCTAACATGAAAGACTCAAATTCAGTCGCCTCATTTTCTGTAGAACAAATAGATGAATAAATAAAATTACAATATGACGAGAATAGAAATCACACTGCTGTGTTTAAGAAGAGGACTGCAGAGCTGTAAGGGCACTTCAATACAGAAATAAACAGTACTCATGACACTAACTACAGTATGGCAATGGTGTAGAGTTAGCATACACAAGGCTTCACTCAGCACCATTGACTAGAAATAAAGCTTGAAAACTTTTCTCTACCTCTTAAAGCCAAAAAACCTCCACTTTTAATTCTCAGAGAAAGAAAACAGACATACATCAATATGATAAGAGCTAGCTTAGCTGGTATCTGTCTGCACATGTCTCAAATTTAAGTCTTTAGACTCGATTTTTGGGACAAGTGAAACAGTCTTTCCTGGTTTGAATTAAGAATCTTAATTTGAAACTTTCGTGGGGCACTTCCAGCTCTTAAGTTATTTGTCTGAATTCTATTCACATCCAGAGAAAAATCAATAGATGATTACCTGGCTGTCTGACCTGCTTACCTGCACACACTTGGGGTCATCTGTTGTTTGTTCGGTGAGTTTTAAATGCCTTCATTGTGCGTGACAGAGTCTTCCACAATCAAGTTGGCTAGATTACACAATTATCGAGACAGACTACTTTTACTTTTAAGGGTAAGTGACTTTGGCTTCATGATTTCGATATCATAGAAACTAGCCTAAAGTCTCTTTCTGTATCCTGTTTTCTCCTCAAGGTGGTTGAACTGGTGATGACCTGCACCCTGTACCTCGTCGTCTCCACCAGCCTGCTGTCTGACAGTCTATCGTGGATGGCTGTCCCTCAATCAGTGTGTTCTCTGGTGTCTCTGTTCTTCCTGCTGCCCTGCCTGCTGCTGACTGATCTTAGACCAGTCTCCACCCTCAGCCTGCTGTGCTCTCTGGCTCACATACTGATCAGGTGATCTGACTGAGTTCTCACAGCAGTCAATTTAGAGACCTTAAAGCATCAGCTGACATCCGTACCTTCTATATTAAGTCTAGACAACAAGGCGTTATGTATAATCTGCTCTCATTCACACTCTTTTGATCACTGTGCAGCTGTTGTTAGTCTCACTGTCTGCTCCCACCTGCTTGACATCAATGCTTCTGTGTGTTTAATTTATTTCTCATGCAAGGTGTCTGGCCTTAGATGAGCAGAACAGGGGCTGGTTCTTTAGGCTTTTAAAAAGGGGGATCTGGGCCTTTATCTATTTTCTGCTGAGGAGCATAAGCTGATCCAGGGTTTCTCAGTGACTCCCAAATCAACAGTTTCAGAAACTGGTGACCCAGCACCTCAGGACAACCATTTAAAGGCCATTCTGACAACAGACACTGGAACAACACAGTCTGAAGGCCAGGGCACAGTACTTTCCTGATATTGAGGGGGCATTTTAATGAGATGATATCAGAGTTCAGAATACACATCCCTAAAAGGAGAGGAAACTTTAACCTGATATAGTAAAGTTAAATGGTTATAGAGACAGAGGGCTCAGAGACACCACTATTTTACCCTTGTTTCCACACACAATGATCCAACATAGTTCTTGTGACAGAGCAGCACCATGACTGACTGTGGATTGCGCATGGACAGGCTGACGCAAACACACATTTCTCTCAGTGGCAAATCACCCAGGAAACACCAGGATCACCCCTTCTGTCCAAATAAGGAAGCAGAACATGTTATTTCCACATAAATTGGTGGTAGATGACTTAAGAGCGTTTATGTTTATTTTTTGTTGTTATTTATCCCTTAACATTAACACTCTGGTTTGGGGGTTTTAAAGGGTTAAAATCCCTTTTTTTTAAACAAAGAGAAAATATGTTTTGTGACAAATTTTATTGAATTAACAACAGCCAGTGGGAGGGGCTCCAGAGTTTAAAGGAGCGATGCTGTTTTTTTCTGAGTTTTCCAGTCAGTCTTGATTCAGCTGCACTAATTCTAACGACTCAAACTGATTTTCGAATGCAGCAACTTTTTTGTACATTGCATAGTTTTGCACCACATCTTTTGCACCTACATTGTGCGCCACAGTGTAGGTGTAGCAAACAGCTAAGACTTACTTAATGCCATGTGCTTCAGACTTTGTGTTTAAAATAGTTTAATTCGTGCTCGAAGGCTACAACGGGGAAACCTGCAAAACTTAGTCGGCATAGTTAATGCTTACCAGAGCACTATTCATGGTAAGATGGTCTTTAAAGACTAATGAATTGAAATGAAAGCTTCACTGACACTGCTCACCCAGCTGATGTTTCAGGTCTCTCTGCCCAATATTAACATATACAAATTACATTCACTACTTATTCTTGATTGCGGTCATTTTCTATTTTCCTTTTCTTGTCATTTATGATCCTTTTCCAGCCTGTTAGTCATGCTGTACTGTCTAAGCCGAGCCAGCAGCTGGTCCTGGTCCTCTCTGTCCCTCTCTGTGAACCCAGAGGACTTCCTGGTCTCTGTAGGGGTCATCATCTTCTCCTACACTTCGCAGATCTTCCTCCCTCCTTTAGAGGGCAGTATGGAGGACAGGGGGCAGTTTAACACCATGCTGGGGTGGACCCATGGAGCTGCCTGCATCATGAAAACAACGTTCTCTTCACTGGTCAGTGACATCTTTAACATTGCAACCACTGCTCCGGTTGTTTTATTGGGGGGGGGGGGGGGTAAAATCTGGACAAATTTCAGGGCTGTATTTATAGCCACTCATTCTTTTTATTTAATCCTGACATCTGTCTGTCAAGAGTTAATCAAGGGATTGAAGGATGGAGTGATTGATTCATTGATGGAATTGATTGCTTTCTTCTTTCATTAGGCTGTGCTGACCTGGGGGGCCGAGACCAGTGAGGTCATCACAGACAACCTGCCCTCTGACCTCCGACCTCTCGTCAACCTGTGTCTGCTGGCTAAAGCCCTGCTGTCCTACCCTCTGCCATTCTACTCTGCAGCTGAGATCCTCCAAACATGTCTGCTCAGAGGTAACATTGAGCTGCTCTCTAGTCAAATCACTGACCTTATCTTGTATACATCCTCATACATTAGACAGGCTTCCTTCAGGCAATTTATTACAGAAAGAACAGTTTGCTCCCATGAAACAAAGTCATGGTTTGATGGTAAAGACTGACTGAAGATTAACAATTTAGAAGTCACATTGATTGACTTCACAGGAAGCTGCCATTTTGTGGTCTTTCTAGAAAGAGCAGTCGCCTGTAGAAAGGAGGTTTTACATGGATGGACAATAAAGTGGTCAGTAGAAGTAAAGTGTGTTAAAGCTTTTGTTTTTCACAGTAACAGTGTGTGCATATGTGGTAAAAACACTCCAAGGCGCTCTTAATGAGGAGATGCTCTCATCCTTTCTGGTTTTGTAAGATTCCTGAAACTTGGACTTCAGTACAAACGTATCTGTTCCTGTCCTGTGTAATTTTTGTGTGTGCACATGGCATTGCAGCCTGTGCTTTTATATTCTCATCCCTAAATTAAAACTGACAGGGACATGGCATTCATCAATGTAAGAACAGAGACGGGAACAAATCTGATGTCTAAACTACAGGTTCATGAGCCTGCCACAGAAACCTCAAAGAAAATGTTGGTGAATAAGTCCTGATTGTGAACACATAGGGCCTGATCTGCTAAAGGTTTGCGTGTACAAAAACATTGTCAGAACATGCAAAATACTGGGAGGAGCAGATGCAAATGAAATCATTTAGCACCTACAATGTGATTTATCAAACCTAAAACTGATTGCGGTCGCTGTTTTGCGTCTATAATTAGCATGTTTGAAAGGCACGGGCAAACAGGCACAGCATTACGCATGGTCATTGTGGAGAGAAGAAGGCAGAAGAGCAATAATAGAACACAGAGAGAGAGAGTCTTTCGTGCGTGTGTCAGCATATTTGGATGGTAAGACATAAAAATAGTAGAGTAATAGTAATAATAATAGTAATGCTGGGTGACCTAAGGGCTGATTTGGAGCCAGTCACAAAAATGATCCATGTCATATCTCCTGTTGAAAAACTCCTTGTAATCTGACAAAGTAAAACAACTTAAGTCATTTGTCATCTAGTTACATTTAAATGGAGGAATACGTGTGTGTTTACTGTCAACACATGTGGCACAGAGGCTGAACTTTTGTGGTTATTTACAGTCAATAGAGCTGAGATCATGAGATTACAGGATGATGTCATTCAGTTTTACGATGATAATTTCTACAGGGTCAGCCCAAACAAATATAAACATAATAGTCTAAATAAAAGATGTTAATGTGCAGAATCGGTTTTGGCTAAAGTAACACAAAAATAAGGACATGACAAACCCTACACCCTTTATTTAAAACCCAATTTTCACTTATTGTCATTACTAATCAATAGTTTCTTGTATCAGCTCATTAAAGTGATCTCATCTTAGCAAGTGCTAAACAAATGTTGGTTGCACAGTCAACAAATCCCGCTGATGATTTTAAACTCTTGTTTACCCTTTCCACATCTCCTCACTCATCTCTTCACAGATGATGTCATCTTATCATACTTTAAGCTCGCAGGTCACAGTGTGTCACGCCAAGCCCTGTTGGTCCGTGGAGCCTTGCTGATGACATCATACCTGCTGGCCCTGTTAGTTCCTAGGTTCTCCTTGCTGATGGGTTTGACAGGCAGTGTGACCGGAGCAGCCATGACACTCATCCTGCCCTGCCTGTTCCATCTCCGTCTGCAGTGGAGCCGCCTCACTGTGACAGAGAGGATGGTGGATATGTTCATACTGAGCATGGGGGTTGTTTGTAGTGTATCTGGTCTGATCTGCTCACTGAGGAGACTGCTGGAAGGACTGTAGATGGATGGATGGATGGATGGATGGATGGATGGATGGATGGATGGATGGATGGATGGATGGATGGATGGATGGTGAAATAAATGGAGGGATGAATGAATGGATGGGTTAGTGCAGATGGATAGATGGATGGATAGGATGGATTATGGATGGATGGATTCTTTGTTGCATAAATGGGTGGAAGGATAGTGCAGATGGATGGATGGATGGATGGATGGATTCTTTGTTGCATGAATAGGTGGAAAGATAATGCAGATGGATGGATTTTGAAAGAATGATGAAAGAATGGGTAGATTGATGAAATGGATAAATTAATGGATAATGCAAGAAAAAGACTAATATGTAAACGAGCATGATAGATGTACAGTCAGATAGGTGGATATTTTTCTTAAAAAGTTACTTTTGAAAAGGAACATTGTCCTCAAACTAGATTAAAAAAAAAAACACTCCTACCATCATATTGAAGATGACATATTCTGTCATGTCATCTGTGCAGTTAAATCTGTTAGCCACTGTGATAAAATATCACACACTGTGTCATGTGAAGTGACAGATAGGAATTAGTCATCACAAAAAAGGTACATCAGATTTATGTCTCTTTAAGCTTCTTATGAATTTCACTTATCACCTTAGGGCGAGTTTGTCACAATCCTTTTTAAACAACTTCAAAAAAAAAAAAATCCTGTTATGTATGCTGTCTTGGTAGTGGGCTAAAGAAATCCAAATTAACAGAGTTCCTGTTTGTTTTCTTGTTATTGTGGTTGCACTGGTTGATGAAAGAGGATTGTCACAAAGTTGGTTCAAACTTTAACAAAGGCTTTTGTTTAAGTGGAGCGTGGGTTTTTTGTTACAGATGCTGTAATTCAAAATTGAAGCAGGAGAAGTGCTAAAAAAAAGAAAGAGCTCCAGTCTTTGATGTTGCTACAGGAAGACAAGATAATCATGGTTATTAGTGGAGCACACTGTGAAAAATGTTGGAATAATTGTCATTTTAGCCTTTAGGGTGGATGAACATTAGAGACTAATAAACTTATCTACTCGACCTTTGGCCTAAAGAAGACTCACTGATTTTTTCTTGTTTTATGACTGAATTTATATGTTAAAATATGTACGATGGGAGTGTGTGTGTGTGTGTGTGCGTGCGTGCGTGCGTGTGTGTGTATTTAAGAAAGTAGGAGTAACTAATTTTGGCTTCAGTTCTTCTTTTGTTTATGTGCTTCCAACACACTTTAGAGGTGGGCTGAACTAAACTGAAAGAAAGGAAAAAGGTAAGGAAAAAAAGAAAGGACAGAAATGAGGTATGGAGGAGACTTAAATTGTCTCATTTTTCACTCTGTTAAAAATATCTTCTCAAAAAGGAAGAAAAATGGGCAGTGAAAAAAGATAAGAGTCAGGCGGGACGAAAACAAGAAAAGTGAATCATGGCTGAGTTAAAGAAGGTCATCAGAGAAAGAAAAAGAAAGTGGTACAAGAGGAATCAAAGTTTTCTGTCTTTCCTGTTAGGAACTGATGTGGTTACAAATGATGCAGGCATGTGTGGGAAAGTTGTGTTAGTCACTACTTAAACACGTAAACACACACACATGCTTGGGTATGCATGAATGCACACATTTCTTGATGGCAGCCATGCAGGACATTGTCACACCGAATGATTTTGGGACAGAAACTGTATTTAAAAGCAGTGTGGGTTTGCAGTGCCAGATTCACTGGACTTGTTCATTTTTATTTGATCAAATGCAATTCATTATGGTAAAAAAAAGAAGTGGAGTCAGTGAACACAACATGAAATAACAGAAATACTCAGACCAAATATTTACTTAGTGAGCTAATTAATTATATAAAAAAGTATAGCATTCATCTTAATAGTAGCACAAATAAAACAGTAAAGGCCTGTGTCCACTGACAGCCTTCCCTGCACTGACAGCACCTATTTTTAGACATTTCTCAGTTGCATAGAAGCAAAGTGTATATTAACCATATTTATATGAGGCAGAAGTGCCACGAGTAAACTTAGCAACAATAACACCTGTGAGATGTACTCTGAAATTAAGGTTATAGGCCCTGTCAGCATTAAGAAACACTGTCAGTAAACACAGGCCCTGAGGGTGTTAATTTAGAGACATGAGTAGTTATAGTAGGTTGTTTGCACACGCAGGTTGGAACAAGACAAAGCTTATTTTAAGAACTGTGAGACTGTGAACTTAAGATGCTGTCAAGTAAGGAAGGGTGGAGAAGACAGGTGAGGTTTTTTTAGAGCACGAAAGTCCTCCTACGGTAAAGGTCCTGATCAATGAGTGGGAGTACATTTTTGTGTTTCCAAAGAACTGGGGCACAAAACTTCAAATATCCTTGGATTATATGTTTAAAATCATCAGTATGGTGTTTGTCAATATCAGAGAGGGGAATACAGGGTAAAGATTGTGACAATTATAAATTAATTATTACTGAGGTACACTGTTGTTTTACTCTTTTCCTGTCTCCTTCTGCTCCAAACGATTAATCCTTATCCAGAAATTGTAATCCATCATTGCTACTGCTGTGACCAAAATTGTATTAAATGTACCTGAAACTGCACTTTTCCAGGACAAATGATGCTATTTATCTGTTGATCTTTTGCTTTTGTGAACACACAGACCTGCAGACAGGGAGCAGAATATGTGTATGATTACTTTGCAGGAAGGTCTTCTTTGAAAAGAGGTCTTTCAGAGTCCTGTGTGGTACAACGCTTTGCCTCTAACCTCTGAATTAATCCTGCAGTAACATAGGTGCAGTATTTTTAGACCTTATTGGCTGAGGTTTGACAAAGCGTGGGTTGGGCTCTGCCGTGTTGTCTGGGGTCAGGCGAAAAGGTTGTTTCAGTTACTCCCACTGGAGCCAATTATGCTCAAGATGTATGAAGTCAACATACTGTGAGTTGTTCTGGATAAAAGTAAACACTGTGTGACATATGGCAATCACTGTAGCTGTCCTTCAACCACATGACCCAAATGTGGACCCCTGTGAAGGTGCGCATGTATAGACTATTTCTCCGTACAGGTCCAGATCCAGATCAGCACTTGAAATAAATATTAGAAATATTGAGAAATATTCTTATTTGTATCTTTCTGAGGGCTCCATATGAAGATTGATACCATTCTCAAGGCTGCATGGTAATTACAAAGCGACTGCCAGCAGCCAGCTTTACTTAAGACTGGAGGGGGAAACAGCTAGCCTGGCTCTGTCCCAAGGTATCTAAATCTGCCTTCCAGCACCTCTAATGCCCACTAATTGACACATTTATATCTCATTTACTTAATCTGTACTAAAACACATTTCCACATTAAAAAAAAAAAAAAAAACTTTCAGGAGGAGTTATAAACTGGACTATGTTTTCATTTCTCGACTGCTGACCTGCTCCAGCCTTAGCAGCAGGGTGCAGAAGGAGACATCCAACTAGCATAGCTTGTTCACTGGGTTTTACCGTCAAGTAAAGAAACAACAATTTTGAGCTTTTATCGTCCACAGAGGCTTAATTTTAACATGAAATGACAACTTTATTCACTTTATTTGTGTTAAAGGCCTTGATATTGGTTTTTACTTTTCTGGACATCTCAGAAGACAAATGATCTCTTGTGGTGACCAATTTTTTCAAAAAGTTAAATATATATGTATATTTTGGCTTAAACTTTGTGGCTTCAAATAAAATGCGAAATGCACCAGTTTCAGGGTAAAAGCAGCAACATAGATCCATCACTGTAAATCTGGGTTTATCAGGTTTATCTAAATCCAAACCTCTGGCCTTCCTGTGGGTCAAATCACTTAAAATAGCTTTGAATATTTGGGTTGCTTTGACACAGCTTTTATCAAGCCTCATAACATCACCCATCTGTGCTGCATCTTTATCAGGGAAGGTTTTTTTTTCCCCACAAGAGACACCATCACCTGCCTGACAAAACAATTCTGGAAGTAAAAGAAAAACAGGAGGAAGGAAAGATGTCAGGAAAATAGGAGTGAAGATAAAAGTGAGAGGAAATCAGAAAGAGGAAAAAAAGGACAGAGAAGGCATGAGGTGAAGATGGAGACAAAGATTGACAGTGAGAAAGATAGGGGGAGGTAGCGTAGGGAAGTGAATTAGCTGCAGTGGATAAGGAGCTCTCTGCTGACTGCCAACTTTGCAAATCCTTCATGCATCTGGCTGCTGAGGACGTAGTGTATATACAGTATTCATGCATGTGTGTGTGTGTGTGATATTCATGCAAGGAAGTGCAGTTGTAGGGTAATGTGCAAGTCTATCAGTTGCATATCAGTTCAACCTAGCTTTAAAAGCCACGCACAAGTCCATATATACTCTAAGGGTGTGTGCATGTGAATGTATGCATGTATGAGTTATATAGTAAATGTGATTGTGTGTAGGTGTGTGTGTGCCTCCCACTGCACCGAGCTGCTTTCAGAGCGATAAAATGTTCACACTGAAACGGAGCCAGCCGCCCCTCTGGAGCTTTATTGGCTTAGTTTAGTGAATTGTTTCTGTGGGATAATAACACCACATCTCCTTTAGACTTTTATTTTTGTCATTGTTTGATGGGAGGTTATAAATCCAGAGAAAATATACTTTTTTTTTTTAACTGTGTTTCTGTTTTTGTGTGAGATGATGGATTTTCAGGAGTTCAGACTGAAAGTTTTCAAAGGCCTTAGTGTCAAGACTATTAAGCCAAGTATTTTAAAATTGCTTCAACATTTCAAACCAGAGTCAATATGTAAAAAAGTAACATGTATTCATGGAAATATGTGCAGAATCAGTCAACTATTGAATAAAGAATAGTAACTGGCACTGGGAGTTTATGATGTGTATTCAAACTAAGCTGCTGCTCCACTTCAAGAGCAGGAACACTGTTCCAAACAGCAAAGATTTTTCTGTGGGAAAAAGAAAAGGACTCCTTTTGTTAATTTTCTGAATAGCCAGCAGCTTTGCATTGTGGGTTTCTGACAGGCTTCAGATGGTGCAAGTCCATGAAATGTTATGTCAGCTGCAGGACCTTGAAATTGGAGCAAATGCAAGGAGGTCATGACGAGGCCGATGTGGTCATCATTTCAGCTCAGACTCACATTCCTGCTGCTGTGAATTCGACTGGAGTTACATTTTGGTGAAGTCAGAGACAAGAGCATTACAAGTGCAACATGTTTGATGAACATATCAAGATAATAGTTGCCAGATTGTTTTATTGTGAAGGTCAGCAGTCTTTGTGATTCGAGTGTTAGAAAATTAAACAACTTGGGTTTTCTACTCCTGTCTCCAATGGTTCTCTGTATTCTCATGCATTCAGTTTTTATTGAGGACCAAGCTATCCACAGAGGTCTCCTCTTCCTCCTCAGACTCACTGAATTTGTAAAGCAGTTCATACCCAAGAGTAAATTTTCTCTGCTATTCTTTACTAAGGATAAAGTAGTCAAGAGGGGTTAGCTGAGCTAATGCTAAAAGTGAGCTTTTATTGAGGATCATGTAATGTCAGTGTTTCCCCTACAGTGTATTTGGCAGCTTTTTGTACACTGAGAGCCCAAATTCAGTCATTAAAGTCATAGATTAATATATACATTTAATTTTTATGCTTATCAAAATGGCCTATGAAATATAATTTGTGCAATTTCAGACTCTGAAGCTCTTAATCATTACTTTCATGAAAAATGTTTCTCTCTTCTCCTCTGCGATGAGCTTGCTCCTCTCTCTATCTCACAACATACATGTGTGCTGACATGTACAGTATGTTGTTCAGAGTTAAGAGGCCACATCCACTGACTCTGGTATTCTGGTCGCAAGCCCCGCCAGTTTTGTACAGGATGGTTTTGACAACCTGGGGTAGAGGCTCCTTTCCATCCTGTTTGCCGCCAACAAAACAATAAAAAAAACTGGTCATGGAGCACCGAACTGTTCCCGAACATTCAACACACCAATTGAAAATGCAAATCAGTGTTGAATATTGGAATAATTACAATTTTTTGTGCA